GTTCATGTCCATCTTCTCCAACTTCATCTACTTCTTCATCATCGCTTTCAAAATTCATGTTAGATTTAAAGAAGCATAAGAAGGGTGAAGGAATTGATTCTAAAACAGAGTTAGATAAATATTTGGGTGAAGATGTTGAGGAAGACTTTGAAAATTTTAAAATTCTGGGGTGGTGGAAGTTGAATTCACCCAGATTTCCCGCACTTGCTGAGATGGCACGTGATGTGCTAGCCATTCCTATTTCTAGTGTTGCCTCAGAATCAGCCTTTAGTACCGGTGGACGCATACTTGATCCATTTAGGAGTTCATTGACACCTAGATTGGTTCAAGCTCTTGTGTGTGTCCAAGATTGGCTTCGAAATGAATCAACAACTCCGGTTAAAATTGAAGAAGATTTAGATAATCTTGAACAACTTGAAGCGGGTAAGACTATCTTATTTCTTCTATTACTTTACTTGTGTTTAATGTATACTTATGTTATGTTTCTTTAGATTATTTTTAAACTAATTTATTCTATTACTATCTTATTCTACAGACTTGATTAATACCGGAAGAGAGCCTTGCATCGTCGACATATAAAAGGTACGAGTTCGTGGCATGTTAAAAGTTTTCTTAAGCCTTCTAATAAATTGAACCAAACTGCTGCATTAAGCCTTCTCTATTGTATTGTTTTGTTCTACCACCAAGCAGTCAAGCTGCTGCATTAGGCTGTTGCACAGGCTGCCCAACTTGACATGATACACATTTACCGACTCTCTCATTTTTGACAAGTGTAGTATTGCAGAACTTGAAAGTGTGTCAGGTTGAGGATTTCAGTTCCAGTGTGCCAGAACTTAAGGTTGTTGCATTAGGGAATTCTGGTTGAAGCTGCTGCATTAGGGAATTCTGGGATTTTAGTTAATTTTGTAGAACTGGACTGTTAGCTATGTTACAGTTATAGTTATCTATAAGAACTTGTAACAATTATAGTTATCTATAGATCTGGATTGAATGAGAATGATCAATAGAACTTGTAACTGTTAGCTATCTTACAGTTATGTTTTGGTTCTATGTTACAGTTATGTAACTGTTAGAATGATCAGTAGAACTTGGTTCCATTTTGTGTTTTTGCAGTTCTGCTCTTCTGCTATGCTTCTGGAGTTACAGTTATGTTTTGGTTCTATGTTACAGTTATGTAACTGTTAGAATGATCAGTAGAACTTGGTTCCATTTTGTGTTTTTGCAGTTCTGCTCTTCTGCTATGCTTCTGGAGTTACAGTTATGTTTTGGTTCTATGTTACAATTATGTAACTGTTAGAATGATCAGTAGAACTTGGTTCCATTTTGTGTTTCTGCAGTTCTGCTCTTCTGCTATGCTTCTGGAGTTACAGTTATGTTTTGGTTCTATGTTACAGTTATGTAACTGTTAGAATGATCAGTAGAACTTGGTTCCATTTTCTGTTTCTGCAGTTCTGCTCTTCTGCTATGCTTCTGGTCTTGTAAGTTGTAATTGTTACTTGTTAGCTATGTTTCTGGCTTTCTGCTATGCTTCAACTGCATAGCTTTGAATATTTTTAAAGACTGTCAGCTTTAACCAGTTACAATACTATACAGTTACAATACTATAAGTCTATACTATTAGACATTAGTAACATTTATTAATTGGAATGAAGCCAAAATTAAAATCTTGAGGTGCTGTAATTTATAGTCATTTGTTTGCTATTTTTGGTCTTTTAAATGTTATTATATTATGTAACATCCATTATCCATATACAGTTATACACACTCCTTAATAATACGTACAATCCGATCCGAAAATTCGATCACCAAACGGATGCGAAATTTAAAAATCCGATCCAATCCGATATAATTCGGATCGGATTCGGATTGCAATTTTTGGAATCCGAAATCCGAAATTTCAATCCGAAATATGCTAAATCCGATCCGATCCGATCCATGCACAGCCCTAGTCACTACTGCTCAGTCTTTATTTTACCTTTATTACTTACTGAGTTGGCATACTCACATTACTCCCTGCACCTTGTGTGTGGATCCAGGGGTTACTGGACGTGCTAGCAAGCGTTGGTTTTTCATCCGTCGCGGATATTTTGGAGTTGGCAAGGTAGCTGCATGGCAATCACAACCTTTCTCTTCTCCCTTCTATCTTCCTATAGATATTATTCGATGATTTCCAGATTGTATTAGTCTTAGCATTTCAGACAATTTTTAGTAGATGCTCATGACTTGTGACACCCGATATCGGGCGTTTCTTTCCGCACTTTGTTATTCAGACTTATATGATGAAGTTTTATTAATTAATAGCTTAAAGACATCTTCATTTTGGATTATCGGGTTGTTTTGGTACAAGAGTCGGCTTGCCTAGTTCCACGTTAGGCGCCATCACGACATGGTAGATTTGGATCGTGACAAGTTGATATCAGAGTCTAGGTTACATAAGTCTCACGGGTCATGAGCAGGCTTAATACGGGCATATTTGTATCATAGTATAACAATAGGGTCTTAATTAAACGGATAGTAAAACAAAGGATATATTTAAACTATTTTTAATAGTATATGGATATATTTGACCATTTTTTATAAAATAAAAACATAAGAAGAACAGAAATCTCAAACGCAAAGACAGTTCATGCTACTTAAGGATCTACTATCAGATATCCAGAAAGCATTATATTTACAAGAACTAATACCCATTACGTTAATCTGAAAACCGTCTAATTCAATTAAGTAGGAAAACAGAATCTTAAATTAAGGTTGCTAAACATTAACCTGTATTATACGGTACCTAGATAATGCATCATTTTATGTTAAGCATTCATTTATATAATCTGTAAAGAGACGCTTCCGAGAATAATTTAGTTACATTTACGATAAGCATTGTATCAATTCCGCAAAATGAAATTTCATAAATCTAAATTGATAAAGCATGAAGTATGAAATGACTCTACATACATATTTAAAGATTCTGTCTTTGACAACTGCAAGGCTACCAAAGACGGATTGTCTTCCTTGAGAAATTCACCTAACTGTAAAACAACAATACAATTCTTGTTGATTTACCTTCCTTATCAACAGCCTTGCAATAGAGGCATAATTAAAATCACCAAAGCTCCTCATATTCACTTCTGGCAAATTCCACGTTTTGTAGTCGCAGGGCGCGGCACAATCCATTTTGTGGCTTAAAGCCAAGCTTTACTAAGAGTTCTTTAAACATTAAATTTAGGCAGAATACCTAAAACCCCTGTAAACTTGGCGTGGATTATTAGTTACAGTCCTAAATTATTTGTGGTCTTAATTACCCCATTCAACTTGAACTTTTGAGAGTCATTACCTCTGAATGTTGATATGGCAAAGAGTGTGGATGCACTCTCTTTTAAGCGCGTGGAACTAAAGAAAAATTGAAAAATCGGCTTCAAAAGTTATTTTTAACTTTTAATTGCCATATGGTCATAGATAATGATTTATTTATTACAACTATGTATTTGTTCCAATTGCATTGTTTTTTTTTTGATCGAATTTGTAAAACGTTTGGTAGGAACTCCATCATTTTAGCCAAATAAAAAACTTTTAGCAAAATGATGGAGTATCAGTTATGTATATTTCCTGTTTTTCTCTTTATATATAATGCCTATTTATTTTAATTATGTATTTTTATTTTCAAGTCAAACCAATAAAATAAATTGGTCATAACTCCATTATTTTTTACCAGATAAAAAAAGTATAGCCAAAATAATGAACTTATAATTGTACATTCTTTTTATTTCTTCTTTTGATGCAATGACTATTTATTTCAACTGTGTATTTTTACTTTTTCAGGTAAAATCTATTAAAAAAAAATTAGAGCACCATAATTTAGAGCTATATAAAATATTATAGCCAAAATAACTAATTTTCAATTATGTATTTTTTATAACTTTTTAGATGCCTTGACTATTTATTTTAATTGTACAAATCTTTATTTTCAGCTCAAATTCAAAAAAAGAATAACTAAAACTTTATTATTTTTAGCCAAATAAAATAATTTAGCCTAAATAATGTAGTTCAATCCAAGTTTTATTATAAATTTTATTCGAAAAAAATTATCTAAAAAAGTAACATACTTAAAAAGGTAAAAATATATTTTAGTTTTCAAAAAAAGTCACATAGACAGAAAAATCTACGTGGCAGGCGATTGCATGCCACTTTCCTGGGATGAGATTGTCCGGGGGGTAACAACTATCGAATAACTAAGTATAGGGGGTAATTAATACCATAGATAGTTCAAGGATGTAATTAATAATGCATGCCAAATTTAGGGGGTTCTAAGCCATTTTGCCTTAAATTTAATTAATAAAATATTTATACTTTAATTTGAAGTTACTATTCTAACTTTTCGGTTTACGAAGTTACTATTTATTTATAATCAATTTCTTCTCAATAGACAATATATTCATTAATCCATGTAACATATCATCGTTGAGAAATTATTGATATTAGGTATGATTTTATTATTTTTTAGTATATACTTCTATTAGACAACATTAGAGAAAGTAAAATAGTAGAGATCAAACAGTAACGAGAGAAAAGTAAACAATAGCAAAAAGGAAAATCAGAGTGGTGTAATGACTCGACCGGTCATTTTGAGCTTTAGCATTTTATTCAGTGGGTTGAGACTTTAATTAACTTCATATTATGTATTATGACTTGCATGTCTGGTCGTTTTCGGTTTTCGAGCGTTCAGGATTGATTTGAAAGAAAGATTCTTGTTTTAGAAGCTTTAAATTGGAAGGTTTGACTTTTGAGAAAATGGACTCAGAATCAGGATTTAATTATTCCAATAAGTTTGTATGACGATTTTGGACATGTACACAAAGTTTGGTTAAATGTGGATGAGTTTTTGATAAGTTTGGGTTGTCTGGTGATTGTTTTCGGTTTCGACATCGATTTGAGCATAAATGTTATCATATTGAGCAAACGGCCTTTGATTCGTATTTCGGCTAAATATTATATCTGTATCATAATTTTGGAACCATAGAAACTGAAATCATCAAGTTTAGACATCGTATGAGGAATTTATGGTCATTTTACTAAGAATTTGGTTGCCAAATTTTTTCCAGATTAATTACGAAATTGTTATTGAATTCATATTAAAAAACTGCACTATTTTCAAATATTGAAACAAACATATCTCTTTCATTATAAGGTCAAATTAGTGATTCAAAAGCCTAACTTGACTGGAATTTCACGAGGAATCCATTGGAGGCATGAAAAGCGAGGTATCCTCACCTCGAAAAATGGGCCTTAGCCCTCGAAGTAGATTCACGAAAGCTTAGGTCGTACTTCCAGTGCCATCCAATCTCGGTCATCACCACATTTCTTTTAAGAAGCATATTGCACAAACCCGAGATGTCGGGGAGGCTGACCAAGTGGCGATCGAATTAAGTGAGCACGACATCAATTATCAGCGTCGCACAACAATAAAATCCCAAGTGCTCGCCGACTTTGTCATGGACTTTAGTGCCAAAGTGATGTCCGATGTTGAGAAAGAAGCCACTCAAGCTTTTTACCGAACACAACACCTCTGGGTCCTATACACCGATGGTGCATCCAACGCATGCGGGTCCGGACTGGACTCATACTCGAAGTTCCCACCGGTGAAGTCGTTCGCCAATTAATAAGATGTCAAGATATGATTAACAACGAGCCCGAGTATGAGGCTATAATTGCAGGATTGAGACTAGTACTTGAATACGAGGCGATGCGTTTAAAGCTACGTTGCAATTCTCAGCTTATAATCAACCAAATTACAGGAACTTTCCAAATCAAAGAGTAAAGGTTGTAGAAATATCAGACCGAGATATGAAAATTTCTAACCAAATTTGACGAATACGAGCTCGACCAGCTTCCACGAACTTAGAACGTCGAGACGGACGACCTCGCTAAATTGGCCGCCGCCACAAAAAGCATAACTCCCGAGGATAAGAGCGTGGTACATCCCCTCAGCTCGACATTAGACCACATCGAGGTAAAATCTTTAAATTTAACT